TGACTCAGAAAGAAGGCTGTCACTGCAGCCAAAACCTTGTCAGAAGAGAGACGTGAGCTTGTCATTTGTCTATTGCATTCCTTGCAGGTTTGATGAAGATCATGAAGATTTCGGTACATCAGCAGTGAGCTTTCACCATTCTCATCTTCAGTTGTGATTGCTTTTGTGATTTACAAAAGCACAAGGAGCCTTTATACTTCTTCTTCCTTTGTTTTCTTATTGGAAAAATACTGTGAGACAAGTAAAATGGTTTACAAGTGTCAGTGCAATATATTTGCTTCTAGTAATGCAGATGTACTGATGCCTTGTTTTTCATCTGGCGAATGTACTTTGTAAGTTATGTACTTCTTTGTAAGCAGTAAGCAAGTACTTTTAACTACTGATACAAAGTATTCCATTTATTATCCCTACTTATTGTCCCAGAAGATATCTTTGCCTATGAAATATAAATAAAAGCAAGAAATAAAAGCAGTCTATTCCAGTTCTCTTCACCTGAAAGCTTGAGATTATCCTTGGAACTGCTGACACGTGATCATGGCCTGGCGATGTCCAGAATTGTTTTGTCTAAGCTAATATTTGTGTTTATTTATCGACAGTTTTAGCGTTAAGAGAAAAGAAGGAATACAGGGAAAGAACATATATCTGAATAGCCAGAAGAATCTACTTTTCTGGGCTGTTTTATTTCTCTTTCTTGTGTATAGGTAACAGTTCACTGTCTTCCAGACTCTTTCTGGCTCTGATGCAAGGGGCCAACAGAGCTTCTGGGGTCTTTTGTCTTTTCCAGTTTTATTTGTTGCATGGCTGTTCACACTTATCCTTCTTACCTCTTCATTACTTTAAAAGAGTAATGGAAGTCAATGGGGACACACAAACACCTCCCAGGGCATCTGCTGTGATTTCCAGTGACCCTTATGAGTAGAGATCATCTCCATGCAAGGTCGAGGCTGCAAACAGGCTGACATCAGCCTTTGGGATTATGCAAGTGAGAATTTGCTTTGTTCCAAATGCATAACCTGCATGCTACAAAATCATAAGGAAGGTTTAAGGGACAGATTTTAAACCATAGGAGAGATTTAAAGAAAAAAAATGTAGAAAACATTCTATTTAACAAATATGTTTTGGGTTTGTTTTTTTTTTTTTTCTATATGTATAACTTTGTAAAGCAGAGACTTTGAAAGATTAGGGAATCCTTATTAACATGAGGTACTTCTAATAATTTTGACAGGTTCAGTAAGAGGATGCCATTTCTGGGTGCATTAAAAACCAAAGTCCAGTGTCTTTGCTGCATAC